AGTCTTTGGGCCAGCTAGCAGCCCAGTGGTTAAGGCAGCTAGATCCTCTATAGTCAACTGTGTGGTTCAAGTCCCAGACCTGGCAGCTTGCAAAACATGAACATGCCAGGCATGCGTGCATGCATGCCCAAAACTCTGAGAGGCAAAATGGAGGAGAAGGGATTGTGGCACGCCCATCTCCTATAGGGGACATTTTCTCACTCTCTCTCTCTGGCGAGCACATATACCCTCTAGCAAATTAAAAGAAATAGAGAGAGAGTTGTTTTTAGTTACAATCGAGTACTTAACCTGCTCAGAGTCAAAGACTATGGCAAAGGGAGGCCCTCTTTCCTCAGTGCAAAAGGCATGCCCTGGGGGAAAGGCTCGGGTCCTGGTCCGACTTGTGCTCACTAGTGGGGGACCCTTGGCAAGCTGCTCTGAGTCCCCTCCTCTAACTCACCACGGAGATCATGTTTACAGCAGCTGCCATGGGCACCAAGTGACAGAACAGGGAAAGCAGCCAGCCCAGGTCCAGAGGGACCATTAGTGCTCAATCTATAGCAGTCACTAGGGCCGGCAGATGGCATGGTGGTTAAGATGCTGGACCCCCACATGGCCGACTGCAGTGTGAGTCCTGGACCTGGTGGCTTGCTTTCTCACTTTCCCTTTCTCTCTGGTCAAATTAAAGTAAATAAATAAAAAATAAAATAAATAAATATAAAAGTAAGTAATTAATCAATTGTGGTCACGGCAGGAAGGAATGATCTAGATTTCAACCCTACCTTTTCCACCAAGTTTTTGTGATGGTCCAATAACCCCTCCCTGTAGGATGCTGCTTTGGGGACTTAGCACCTGCCGCATCCCAGGCCTTACAGAGCCGAGGACTCACCTTTTCTGGGTCAGGTGGTTAATAAGCAGCAGACTAGTACCCACCTCTCGTTACCCTTCGCGCAAAAGCAAAACTGCCCAGGACTGCACACCCACTCTCCCAGGACAGAAGGGGACCCATGCCCTCTCCTGAGAACCTGGCCATATGAGACAAGAGCTGCTGATAGCACGCGGCCGTGTGACGCGTGTGTGTCCCCAGGAGTGGCGTGAAACCAGGAGGTGTTACTGACGGCAACAGGGCCCTGCGTGTCGGGTGATCGTCTTCTTCTGGGGGCCAGTCTCCCAGCCTATCCCAAGATCCATGTGACGGGATGTGAACTGCTAACAGAACTGGGTCTCGTTGCAGCCCACTGAGTAAATGCATGTCTGGCTCAGGAACCAGGACACCCAACGCTAGTCCTTGCTCCTCCAAAGGCAGCTGTGTGAGCACACGGGGAGCGCTCTGGGCCTCAATTCTCTCATCACAAAGAGCAGGCACTAGGCCTCAAGGACTTCAAAGGGCTCTTTGGAGCTGATATTCTGATTCAGTGGCATGAAAACATGACACGCGCTAACTTCAGAGCAGTCACATAAAAGCAGGAGGGAGTGGTAACAGCACAGAGGAGAGGAACCAGGCCAGGTTCAGTGCTTTGCTCACGGAGTCCACGCCAGGGCTCTGCAAAGGGGATGCAAGATACCTGCTGAGTTGAGGCCCCCCACAGCGTAGATAAGCCCAGCGATGGACGTGCAGCAGCGAGGCCGTGTTCGGAAAGCTGGCACATGGGGCCGGCGCTCTGGCATGAGGTGATAGTCCTTTGCTTCGTCCACCAGGTCCCTGGAATGAAGTGCAAGACGCTAGGATGCATGGGCCACATTTGCACTGCTGAGCCCAGCTCTCCCACCCCAACTGCAGGAGGAAACCTTCTGGAAGGTTCAGTCTCCAAGCCAAGCATGACCTGGAGAAACCACAAAGCTAGTGAGACACGCTCGAAGTTGAAGGAGCCTCCCCGCACCCCGCCCTGGGCTCACATCACCAGAATGAGTATCTCCAGACAGGCATGGACCAGGCGTGAGGACACGGGGCAGGGGCTCGCGGCTGGGCACGGGCGGGTTCTGCAGAGCCTGCCTGCTGTCACCACCCAGACCTAGCTCTTCACTGTCACCCAGGACAGACCGCGCCGCGCCGCAAGCCCCTGACTGCCCCCTACCCCACCCTCCACGCCATGCTCCAAGCTGTTCTTTCTTCTGTTATTTGCCAGAAGATGTGTATGCTGGCCAGAGAAAGACAGAGACAGAGACAGAGACAGGGAGAGAGCACCCTGCAACGGGCTGTGGTTACGCTGCCATTCCTTCTCCTTTTCTCCATCCTGTTGGGACTTCAGACATGCACGCACACGTGCCCCGCATGTTCTCCAAGCTGCCAAGGCTGGGATCCGTCTCCCTTAACCAGACTACAGGGTGGGCCCTCCAAGCTGTTTCTCTAAGAACCTTTCAAAGCTGCCTACTGCCAGCAGAGTACAGTTCAAGCTCCTGAACAGCAGCCTGAGACGGCTGTCACAGGACCCCTGCTACTTCCGGCCACACCTCCACCCCTTCCTGACATGTACACCTTCACACCGCCTGTACCAACCGACTTCTCCCCAGCTAGCTGATCCCAGCGGGGGTGGGCATGTGAAGGAGAGAACTGAGTACGTAATGGACTTGTTAGCCAAGGAGAAAGAGTTTTCAGGTGACCTTGACAAGCGATCTGAAGGAGGATGGACATTCTCTCTACTGCTTTGGGTATTTTTCTGCTATTAAGTGCATGTGCTCACCGGAGAGAGAGAGAGAGAGAGAAAGTGAGAAAGCATCCCCTGTGGGATGGCCACACCACAATTCCTTCTCCTCCTCGCAGGATTTTGGGCACACACATGTGTGCCTAGTGTAATTTTCAAGCCACCTGGTCAGGACTCGAACCATGCAGTCCGCCACATGGGATCTAGCTGCCTTAACCTCCATGCCACCTGCTGTCCCTGCCGCTTTCCTTTTTGTTTTTTTTTGGAGAGGTTTTTGCTATAGGGCACGTGCGCTTGCCAGACAGACAGAGAGAGACAGAGGGATACAAAGTGAGAAATCACCCCCAGGCGGGATGGCCACGCCACAATCCCTTCTCCTCTGTTCTCCTCTTGGGATCTTGGGCACTCACACCTAGCATAATTTTTAAGCCACTGGGTCCAGGACGCGAATTGCGGTCGACTACATGGGAGTCCAGTGACATAGCCATTATGCTAACTGCTGGTCCCTGCCACTTTCCTTTTAACAAGCTCCTATGGCTGCCATCTCCTGAGCCCCCGAAGCCGTGTGCCATGTTGTCACTGACTTGCTCTGGGTAAGTCTCACACACTGGTCCACATGTCCACCTCCTGCTGGCCATGGGAATACGAAGCCTAAGCCCACAGAGGCCAGCGCACTGGTATCTACAGAGAAGGCCCATGTGCACCACTGAGTCAGCCACAGGCATGGAGAGGGCAGGGCAGGCAGTGTAGACGTGCATTCGCCTTCTGAGCTAGACATGAATGTGGGCGCATCTACACTGCCTCCAAAGACCTGGGGGGAAGTTCAGTTCCCATGTGGCACCTCTCTCAGCCCAAGGTTTGAGACTCGGGTTCCTAACACTGCCCTCACAGCTCTAGATGGAGGGCCATGAATGGTCTCACCAGTGCAAAGCCGTCCTCCCTTGGGCTAGAATGACGGCCAGGTCCTCCTCCCGCCATGCCCTCCCATGTAGGCACCCCGCCCTGCTCACCTGCATTTGTGGCAGCAACGCACCAGGTCATCCTGCTGTACCCGGTCCGACAGGAACTGGGGCCGGCAGAGGGGCAGGCGGATGTTGGACAGTAGCTCCGGCAGGCAGGGCCCCCTCTGCTCCCGGTCGTACCTGACCCAGGCCAACACGGCTTCAAAGACCTGCCACGAGAGAGCGGAGGCTCCAGTGACAAACCCTTCCGCCTCGAGGCCACACCCTGTATCCACCTTGGCCTCCACGCCCTATGCTGGAGCAGTCCCTCGGGCCCATCGAGCCTTCCTACATCTCCCGAACCCTCTGCTTTCTGTCCGCTTCCCTCGCTACCACTCAGTCCGGTCTTCACGATGCAAGCCCAGGTGACCGTAACGCTGCTGAGAGTCCTCTCCTGCTTTCCCACTGGACAACTGTCAGTGCGACCTTCTTCCTTTCTGTGGCCCCTCAAAACACCCGCTTCCCCTCCTTCTCGTACCCCGTCCCTTCTAAACTGCCTGCTATCCTCCACTCTGGACAGGATGGGCTGGCTCCCCTGTTCATACTGTCCCCCTCACCTAGCACACCTCCTCAAGTTATCATCTACACACACTCTCTTTCTTTTTCCTTTTCTTCTTAATAGTTTTTGTTATAGGGTGCATGTGCTCACTGGAGATAGAAAAGAGGAAAGTGAGCCCTCACCTCACACTCCCCTCTGCTCCATTCTCCTCTTAGGATGTGGGCAGGCATGCACGTCCACATGCCCAGTGTGCCGCTCAAGCTGCCAGGCCTGGGACGCGAACCAGCCGGTCTGCCATGTGGGACCCAGCGCCTTAACCACCATGCCATCTATCGCCCCAACCCCGCTCTCCTTTCTTACTTGTTTCCCAGGAAGTTTGAGCGAATGGCTCCAACCTCACGGTTGTCTCCCTCTAAAACCCCGAGTCCTGATGGAGAATATCACTGAGTACACGTGAGTTGCTTCAGGCCACATTAATTAGAAGTGCTAGTTTGGGGGTTTTGGAGCATTTCTTTTTTTAGGTTTTTACCATACGGCATGTACGCTCATTAAAGAGAGGGAGGGGGAGGGAGAGACAGAGACAGAAAAAGTGAGACGTTACCCACAGGGGGTGGCCACGCCATAATCCCTTCTCCTCTCGGGATTTTAGGCACACATACACATGTGCCCAGCAGGACTTTTAAAATTTATTTATTTTTTATTTATTTATTTTTTGGGAGAGGTTTTTGCCGTAAGGTGCGTGTACTCGCCAGAAAGGCAGAGAGACAGAAAGCGAGAAATCACCCCCCAGCGGGGATGGCCACACCGCAATCCCTTCTCCTCCATTCTCCTCTCAGGATCCTGGGCACGCATGCACACGTGCCCAGCGTGAGTTTAAGCCACCGGGTCCGGGACGTGAACCGCGGTTGACTACGTGGGAGTCTAGCGACATAGCCATTACGCTAACTGCTAGTCCCCCAGCAGGACTTTCAAGCTGCCAGGATTTTAGACTTTTCAAATCAGGGATGCCTGACCTGTATATGTCACGATCTTAATTGTGCAGAGACAAAAACACCAAGAAAGAAGGATCGAAAAGGCGGCTGCACGTGCACCTGCAGACGGCTGTGTGCTCACACACCTGCTCCTCCGACCTCACGTTCAGCTCGTCTCGGGACACCAGCTCAAGCACGTCTTCCGAGGGCAGGGCCAGGAACTCCTCCGACAGGGACACCTCCACGAAGTGCTGGTGGATGAAGCTGTTGGCCGCCTCGTACAGCACGGCGCACATCATTGTCTCGGCAAACTGGCGCACGCCCAGGCAATTTTTCGGGTGAAGCCTTTTTGCATGAGATGGAAGAAAGGGAGAAAGGGAGAGTGTTATCTTGACTTGTTCTCAGGCCGCGGAACAACAAATGTCGTCCTCGGCATTGTTGGAAACTCTCTGGTGTGAGACCAGGGCTCCTCTCTGAGGCTCAAGGTCTCAAGCTATGAAATGGTAGGATGGGAGTTGGAACCACGCAGGGTGTCTCCATAGGCCTCGCTGTCCAGCCTCGGGAAACGACAGTGGCAGCGGTGGTTTATGGAGTACCATCAGCGAGTCTACCAAGTAGCAACCACTCTCATCTTAAAGATGGAAAGCTCAGGATCAGAGTGGCCGAGAAATGTGTTCATGGGCCCGCGACTCGCAAGTGGAGGTACTGGGATGGAGCCAGGCCTCCTGTGTACATTCCCACGGCACCAAGGCAGCCCATGGTCAGCAGGGCTGGGGGCGTGGCCAAACCCTGCCTGCCACTCACTGTGCAGCGTGCGTGGGTTCCTTACACCCTCCCAAGAGCCAGTGATTCCCTCACCTGGAAAAAAGGTGGTAGGAGCCCGCTCCAAGAGTTAGGCCATGATCAGAGAGCATGACTTGGTTCTTGGCCACGTGTGATACTCTGCTCTAGCTCTGTGGAGTTTCGGCAATAGGCAGCTCACCAGAAGCAAGGAGGCCCGTAGGGCTGAGGGCTGGGAGAGGGCCCTAAGTAAAGCACCCCCAGCCCAGCCGCAGGGAAAGCGAGCAGTGGCAGAAGCCCTGAAGGTCAAGCAGTTTCTGAAACTGCTCTAAGGCCATGGGTGCACTGCAGCTTCTCTGTGCTGTCCTGCCTGCCCTGGCTTTTCCTCCTCTCTCAGGACGCTTTTCCGTCAGTCACCGGCAACCAAACCTTGACCCAGAAGGGCCCACATGCCTGTCCTCGAGGGCACGCAAGAAAGGGCGCCGGGAGTCCTCACTACAGCCTGTGGCCAGGCTCAGAGATGGGCACCCCGAGGAGCAGAGGCAGTAATGGCCCTGGAGAGGAGTCAGGGCCCGTGGCAGGGAATAAAGACAGCAACCAGGGTTAGGGCTCAGTGGAAAACGTCAAGAATAGACCCAAGACATCAGGATCTGTTTAAGTAGCTGTTCCAAAAATGTTACTGGTGCATGTGGCAACTGCACTGGTCTAAAAATGACTTGTCTAAGCATCTTCGGGTGCGGTATTTCTATTACGGAGCTTGGATCCAGTGTGACGGTGATGGCCTCGGGGGCCCCTAGGTGGCGCTGTTGTCCCTGGATGGAACCCCTCTAATCCTTTTCAGTCTACCTAATGGGAACGCCATTCTCCAAGTACTGTGGGAACAAAGATGAACCGTGCGGTCTGTGTCCTTAAGAAGCTCATAAAAGGAGCCAGCCCCCAGTGTGTGGTTAAGGCAGCTGGATCCTACACCGCCTTTTTTTTTTTTAAGAGGTTTTTGCCTTAGGGTGCTGTCACTGGGGAGTGAGAGTGAAAGCGAGAAATCACCCCAGGGGCACACTTGCCTTAGGGTGCTGTCACTGGGGAGTGAGAGTGAAAGCGAGAAATCACCCCAGGGGCACACACGCACATGTGCCTGGCATGGTTCTGGGATGACAACCACGTCGACCATGTGGGAGTCCAGCAACGTAACTGCTACAGCACCTGCTGGCCCCAGCTCCATCAGAAGGTAGGTCGCGGAGGGCCGGGGTAATGACAGTGGTAACTCAGTGCTCCATGGTGCTAAACCCACATGGGACAGTCCCAAGTTCATGTCTGGAGGTCTCCCTGTATACACAAGCACACGTGTGCATGCTCATGATCCTGGCTGGCTGAGGCTGGCGGGGGTCACAGCATGATGACATGTTAGGCACCCTCTCCTCTCTCACCCCCATCTGTCTTTCATGGAATAAATGATTTATTTATTTATATAAAAAGCAGGTTATAGGAAACCCACCAGGCCCACTGCCAAGCACCAGAAATAAGTGAGATACTATCCTAAAAGAGCACACAGTGACTGTCCCTGGGGACTGAGGACAGAAAATTCCAGGAGGCGAGTGGGTGGGCTCTTACGGAGCTTTAATGTAAAAGGAAAGGAAGTGGCCACAGGTGGTGTGGCGGTTAAGGCAGCCGGATCCCACATGGCTGACTGCACCGCTGACTGCACCGTCAGAGCCCTAAACCCAGTGGTTTGAAATACACCCCAATGGCCATTCCCCCAGGGGTGCTTTTTCACTTTCCCTCTGTCTCCAGTGAGTGCATACACCCTCACGTGGCAAAAATCTAACATTTTTTCCTTTTTATTTATTTATTTATTTTTAAGGAATTATTTTATTGGAACCAGCAGATGGCATAATGATTACATCATTGGACTCCCACCTAGTCGACCACGGTTCGAGTTCTGGATCTGCTGGCTTAAACTCATGCTGGACACATGTACGTGTACATGTGTGCCCAAAATCCCTAAAGGAGAATGGAGGAAAAGGGACTGCAGTGTGGCTATGCCTCCTGGGGAGTGATTTCTCACTTTGTCTCTCTGTCTCTGTCTCTCCAGTTAGCGCATGCACCTGATAGCAAAAAATCTCTCCCTAAAAATAAATACATAAATAAATTTTGAAAGAATTACTATTTTATTTAACTTTATTTATGTATTTATTTTTATTTTGACCAGAGAGGGACGGAGTGAGAGAGAGAGGGAAAATGAGAAAGAAAGCCACCAGGTCCAGGACTTGAACTGTGGTCAGCCATGTGGGAGTCCAGCGCTCTTAACCACTGTGCTGCCTGCTGGCCCCAAAATTTTCTTTTTAAATCCAAATCCCAAGAGAATGGAGAAGGAATTACGGCACGGCCGCCCTGCCTGCGGGTGATCTCACTCCCTCCCTCACTTGCTCTCTCTGTCCGCTCTAGCAATCACACGTGCCCTATAGCAAACTAAACATAAAAAAAGGAAGGTCACGGCATCCAAGGAGGGGTGGAGACGGCCATGAACAGTCAGGGTGCACTGAGCAGGTCCGCGGTGAGAAATCAGCCAGCCGGGCGGCTGGTCGGACTGCAGAGGGGAGAGGAGGCAGGGCCATCACAGCGTGCTCCACAGAGGTTCCCTCCAAAGCCACACGCTGCCTGACACTGACTTCACCAAACACTGTCTTGGCAGAGTGCCCTTCCCAGCCCACTCTTTATGAAACTCTATTCCCTACGGATCCGAAAACTGGAGGGAGCGTCCAGAAAGAAGACTGTGCTCGCACCGGGGTGGGCACGTCCCATCACCTCACCGTTCTCGCAGGAAGGTGCAGCAGGCGTCCTTGATGCTCTGCAGCTGCAGGAAGCTCGCTCCCATCAGCAGCGACTGCACGTTCTGCTGGTCGATGGCCAGGTTGCCGTTGTAGGCAAAGTTGATCAGGGCCTCCAGGGCACTGCGGGGAGGGCAAGCTGTTAGCAGCTCTTCAGAGACGGTTTGGCCCACAGGAGACTCAGCCGAACTGACACCACTACCTGGGGACAGATGGGCCCCACTCTACATCCATTTCACCAAAGCCCTCGGAGCACCTCCTCCAGAGAGCAACCACTCTACCACAGCCAAAGTCTCATCCCACTACCCTGGCTTCATGGCCCAAGTAATGTCATTCCAGAAAAACCTTGCTATTGAGAGTCACCGGGTCACTTGTCCAGATTGTCCCCAGCGCCTGCTCATCCTACATACGGGTTATCTGGGTACAATCACAAGACACACCCCCGCGAGCTCACTGCCGGTGGCTGCGCATGTAAACACGCTGCAATCGTTTCCTCTGTCGGTGGGCACGTCTGTTACCATCGTGTTGCCCTTGGGAAGTTTCTGGATTATTATTTCTTTGGGGTACACACCCAGAATAATATTTACAGCATTTATTTCTGGCTTCCCATTCACCCTGAGAATAAAATCCAAACTCCAGGGGCTGGCCAGTGGTGGTTCAAGGCCCAGACCTGGCGACTTGCTTTCTCACTTTCCCTCTCTCTCTAGTAAATTATAGTAGTAATAGTAATAGTGAATAAAATTCTTGAAAAGAAACCCGCACCCCACCCACAGGTCGCCTGCAGCTGGCCCCTCCACCTAGCTAACCTCACACTTCCGCTCCTTTCCCCCCTCACGCTATTCCACATGCTCGCCTCAAGGCCTCTGCAGCCCCTGCTCCCTGTCTGGAGGGCTCTTCCCCAGAGGACGGTCTCCCTCACTTCAATTAACGTCTCAGTTCAAATACCACTCTGGTAGGGAGACCTTCCTTGATCCCCAGAAACAGAGCAGCCCCCCACAATCGTTTACCAGCCTTCACTCCACTCTGCCTTTCTCACGTCACGTTTGCTGCCAGCCACGCCGGGCTGCATGTGCACTGCCAGCCACGCCACGCCACGCTGCGTGTGTACCGTCAGCCACGGCGCGCTGCATGTGCACCGTCAGCCACGCCACGCTGCATGTGTACCCCAAGTGCCCACTGCTAGAAGGGTGGTGTGATGAGAAGCAGCGCTTCTGCCTTCTCACTGCTATGCTCCACGTCCAGGGCTGTGCATGCCGAAGATGCTCAGCTGACCTGTCTGATGGGGCACCCTGCCTCTGAGCAGTGATTGGAAGGCTCCTTCAGACACAGACCTCAGACGGAAGGACGGCCAGGCCAGGGGCTGACCTCAGCGTTCTGCCTCGGTGGGGATATACACCCTCTCCATGTACCAGGGCAGGCCACTCCGAGCGCCCAGCGGGCACCACTCATGTCCCAGCGCCCTTCCTCCCATTCTCCACCGCCGTGCGAGTAATGCCTGGGCAATGGAGACAGGCCGCTGGTCATGGGGGAACCCTGGGCCGACCTCCCTGGGCTTCTCTATTTTCCCATCTGGCAAATAACCATAGTATCTGCCAGACTCTAGACCCACACTGTCCAACACGGCGGCCATTCACCGCACGTGGTTAAATTTAAACAAGATGGCAGGAAATTTAAATTTCAGTTCTGCAGTCCCCATTAGTCACACGTAAGTACCTGGCAGCCGTCTGGGGCTGGGGCTGCATTCTGGACGCGGAAACACTGCCATGACTGCAGAAAGCCCTGTGTCTAGACAGCACTGTGCTGGACTGAGGGAGGGACGTGACTCCAGGCACTGACTGAAGACTAGCTGGCCAGCTAAAAGGGCTGGTCAAGACGGTGCGGGCGTAACACCGCAGCGCCCTGGACCGGCTGCAGGTTAATAAACTCTCCTGGACACGGGGTCCTGCTGCCATGGCGCGTTACCCTAACAGAGTACAAACCACATCCAGCTCCCGATTGTGCCGCCATCTGGGGCACTGGCTGAGGCCCAAGTCCCTCCCTCGTCACCTCTGTGTGTGCGGGGCTGTGCTGACAGTCGCTGTCCTGGTGCGGCCCTTGGGGCCCAGCGCGGGCTGGCCGGTACTGGGAAGCAGCCGGGCCCGACGTGCTCAGTACCTCGGGTCCATCCCTTGCATTACGATCTCATCCTGCTTGCACTCCATCATGTCGTTCGTAAACATGGCGTGGAAGTACGGGATCGAGGCCGCCAGGACGATGCGGTGAGCACTGAATTTGTGGTCCCCAATCTGTGGGAGAGGTAAAGCAGAGACAGAGACAGACCTGAGAGATGCAAATCTAACCCAGCGTGTGCCTTCCACAGCTCACCTCCCTGCCACGGCCATGGACCTGCAAGCCAACCGGGGCATGGGCACCTGGAGACTCAGGATTTTAAACTGAGTAGCCTCTTCCAGTAGATGACTGTAATCAGTATTTTTTTTTTTTTTTTTAAAGATTTTAATTTTAAAAATTAAAAAAAAATTTAAATTTAATTAATTCATTTAATTTGACCAAAGAGAGACACAGAGAGAGAAACAGAAAGTGACAAAGGAAGCCACCAGAGGACCAGCAGTTGGCGTAATGGCTATGTCGCTGGACTCCCATGTCGTTGACCATGGTTTAACCCGGTGGTTTAAACTCACGCCAGGTGCACGTGCGTGTGTGCCCCAGATCCTGAGAGGAGAATGGAGAAGAAGGGATTGTGACATGGCCATCCCCACTGAGCGTGATTTCTCTCTTTTTGTCTCTCTATCTCTCTCTGTCTTTCTGGCAAGTGCATGCACCCTAAGCAAAAACCTCTCCAAAACAAAACAAAACAAAACAAAACAAAGAAAACCTCTAAAAAATAAACCAAACCAAATGTACGTCTGAACACTTTAAATGGTAGTTTCCCGTACTCGGCAGCCTCTAAAGCACCCCTGAACTCCGCACCAACTCAAACACATGGTCCCCTTAGCACCGCCCACCCTGGTCTCATCGGCAGCAGACAGCAGAGCAAACTGCCTGAGAACGTGGGTGCTCCTCTGGGTTACCGGTGACCGTGGTGACGGGAAGGGCTGAGAAACCAGACCCAGCACAGTGAGCTCAAATGGTGGGGTGTCCGTGGGCACCGAGCAGCCGGACCACTCCGGGGAAAGTGATCCTCGCCGCAGCTCTCAGACGTCACGGTGCCACCGCCTGGGAATGCTCGGTGTCCCGCAGGGAGAGGCCGCTCCTTCTCCCATCTCCATCACACCCTCGCCAACGCACCCTTCGCTCAAGGAATTCTATAAAGGGTTCCCAACAACCTGCCGACAGAATATTCCCTCAATAAGCTCTGCCATTTACAGCTCCAGGCTCCCACGCTTCCACGTGGGAACCTCCCGTTCTCCAGGAAGCGCTCAGCGGTCGGTCTCTTTTCTCAGGTCCCGGATCAGTGGACAGCATCTCACTACCTGACGCCCCTCTCTGTGTCACATTCACTCAAGGACTCTGGTTCAGGCTCTGTCACTGTCCTCTTTCACTGAACTGTGGGTTTATCTGCAAACCATCCTCCCAGTGTCAGCGGAAGGGTCCCTCTCAGATTCAAGTTCTATTAATTCTGCGAATAATCGGGGTGTGTCTCTGTTACCAGTGTTGGGGACAATGAATGATGCATGGTATTTCCACAATTTTAAAAAAAACACAGTAATAAATGTACATACTTCTTTAACATGTTTATTATTACTTTATTTAGCTTTTTACGTTTATTTATTTAAATCTGACCAGAGAGGAGCGGAGCGAGAGAGAGAGAGTGAGCACGACAGCGGGTGAGAGAGAACGTGAGAAAGCAAGCCACTAGGCCTGGGACTTGAACCGCGGTCGGCCATGTAAGATTCTAGTGCCCTTAACCATCACACCACCTGCTGGCCCCCATATTTCTTTTTTAAATTATATTTTTAAAAAGTTGCTACAAGGCATATGTGCTCATTGGAGACAGAGGGAGAGGGCGAGTGATGGCCGTGTCACAATCGCGTCTCCATTTTCCTCTCAGGATTCTGGGCACACAAGCACACGTTTGGTGCGTTTTTCAAGCCACCGGGTCTGGGAATGGAACCACACAGTTGGCCATATGGGATCCAGTGCCTTAACCACCAACGCCAATTGCTGGTCCTTGTTAAACATTCTTAAAGTTTATTTAGTCATTCCATGAGTGAGAGACAGAGGAGAGGACGCGACAGCACATCCCCGACAGGCTGCCGGCACTGTGATCCATACCCTGCCCTGACAGCCGGACACAAGTGCGTGCCCAGCTTGTAATGGAGGGGTCCAGGTGCCTGCTGCCTCCCTCTTGTGGGTCTGTCTTGCAGGGTCCTGTTTCAACACCGGATCGCCACCTGACTTCAATTTTTTCTTCTTTCCTTTTTGTTTTTTTTTTTTAAGAGGTTTTTGCCTTAGGTTGCCTTAGGGCGTGTGCACTCGCTGGGAGAGACAGAGAGACAGTGAGAGGGAAAGTGAGAAATCACTACCTAGAGGGGATGGCCATACTGCAATCCCTCCTCCATTCTCCTCCTGGGATCTTGGCCCGGCATGCACATGGGCCTGGCATAATTTTGAAGCCACAGGGTCCGGGACTTGAATCGTGGTCAGCCATGTGGAAGTCCAGCGACGTTACTATGACACCGTCTGCTGGTCCCTGTTTTTGTTTTTGTTTTTTGGGAGAGATTTTCACTGTAGGGCGCGTGCGCTCGCCAGACAGACAGAGAGAGAAATAGAGACAGAAAGCGAGAAATCACCCCCCAGGGGGGATGGTCACGCCGCAATCCCTTCTCCTCCATTCTCCTCTCGGGATCTTGGGCACGCACGCACACGCGCCCGGCGTGAGTTTTAAGCCACCGGGTCCGGGACCCGAACCGCGGTCGACTACGTGGGAGTCCAGCGACATAGCCATTACGCCAACTGCTGGTTCCGTTGTTTTTGTTTTTTTGGAGAGGTTTTTGCTATAGGGCAGGGTACTCGCCAGAAAAGACAGAGACAGAAAGCGAGAAATCACCCCCCAGGGGGGATGGCCATGCAGCAATCCCTTCTCCTCCATTCTCCTCTTGGGCACACATGCAGACACACCTGGCCTGAGTTTAAGCTACCAGGTCTGGGACTCGAACTGCAGTCGACTGCAGGCGAGTCCAGCAACGTATCCATTACGCCGACTCCTGGTCCCCTGGTCCCTGTTTTCACAATGTTTCCTTTGGGTTATTTTGTCTTCCACTTGTTTTGCTGTCTTTTGTGTTAAAGGCATTCTTTAAATTTTGTATGTCTGGTGACACTTGGCTATCTGGTCATACTTTTTTTTTTTTTCACTAAGATTTTTTACCACGGGGAGCCTGTGCTCAGAGAGAGAAGGAGCAGTGGGAAGGAGAGTGAGAAATCACCCCTCAGCGGCAAAGGTATACCACAATCCCGTCTCCATTCTCCACTGAGCATTGGGGCACACATGCACACACCAGTGTGATTCTCAAGCCATCAAGTCTGGGACTTGAACTGCAAAGCTGGCCATGAAGGACCCAGTACCTTAACCTCCACACCACCTGCTGGCCCCTGGTGCTACTTTTAAAGCAGCCTGAAAGCTCTGTGGGAGCAGACGCGGGGTGGGGTGGGGGCGTGCTTTCGAGGTTGTGCCCTGCACATCAGGGTGATCAGGCGTTTCAGTGAAGACCCTAGAAGTAGTGAGGTTGTAGGGCGTCTTCCATGGCTAATTTTATCAGGGTTGGATCTTCCGAT